TTTTAGTAACGTGGCCCGCCTTATGATAAGCCATAATGGTTGGAAAAGGTTACCCATGCCCACTATAAGCACCATGACTTGCTAACGCAAAATTTGGGGAAAATGAGCTAACAACGGTAGCTATAAATAAAGATAGCAAAATTGTCGCTCTCACTATACTAGTAATGGCAAATGTAAAATCCTCTGAATCAGGCATGCTACCGAAAATTGACCAGTGACCATTATAAATGCGTAATAAAGTTTGGCATCGATACAACAGAGTAATGTGGTGGCCATAAATTGGGAGTTCAGTGAAGTCTGCATTTTTCGACTTATGCAACAGAGTGTAATTCAAATTATTAGACACACGAGACTGTTTCATTAATACGATAATCAGGTTAGTCAAAGGGGACTATTGGCTAAACTGTAGGCACTTCGATGCGGTTTAATGTTTAGCAAGCTTGTCTCGCTAGAATAAAATACGATGGAATAGTAATGGAGTCACACTGGGTGACAAGAAAGCAGGTTATGCGGAATAAAATGTTGGTGTTCAAAAGGAATGTTTTTCATCATTTGATTGCAGAGTTATTGATTGGCCTACCTTAACCTCACCAAATTAAGTGCATTGACAATGAAGAAGATTATGTTGAAACCTAAATATTTGTTGTGTAAAATAAACAATTTTTCATCATTAGATTGTAGATTTATACATCTGCATTCATCACCAAATTAAGTGCATTGACAAGGAAGAAGATTATGTTGAAACCTAAATATTTGTTGTGTAAAATAAACAATTTTTCATCATTAATTGTAGATTTATTCGTTTGCCTAGATATTCATCATCAAATTAAGTGCATTGACAAGCAAGATTATATTGAAAACTAAATATTTGTTGTGTAAAATAAACAATTTTTCATCATTAATTGTAGATTTATACATCTGCCTAGACATTCATCACCAAATTAAGTGCATTGACAAGCAAGAAGATTATGTTGAAAACTAAATATTTAGTGTGTAAAATAAACAATTTTTTATGATTAGATTGTTGGTTTATACATCTGCCTAGATATTCATCACCAAATTAAGTGCATTGACAAGGACGAATATTCCATTTTCGGGCTGATATTCGTTACGACCCCTGCACATATATTCATGTTTTTTTTTGTTTGTTTGTTTGTTTGTTTGTGTATGTTTTTTTATATTTTTTTTTCATGATTATTTCAATGTCACCGAATTAAAATTCAAAATGACTGAGTTATTAATCATTTTCTTGTACGCCTTTGATCTTGGCTCAATTGCCTTTAGTATCACGCAAGTACGGAGCGAACCTTACACCTCAGAAGTTACAGTACGTTGTTGACTAATTTAGTTTTCAAGAGGTGATGTAAATCTCAAAAATTAGTGAGTAGAGAAAATTCTGTCATACTTGCTTATTTTTTTTTTGCAACAATTTTCATCATGTACAGGGCGCTAGAGCCACTCGAGGTAGAGGGTATGACAACGAAAAGCTGTAGAAGGAACCAGAAACCCAATCCTAAACAGAAAACAAGGTATAAAACTTTATTCGTTTTCAAAAGACCGTGGAAGAGTATGAATTTAAGCAGTGAGAATATAAATACCCACCACAAAAAAAAAAAAAAAACAACAAAAAAACAGGCATCATATTTCATCCGTTGACCTTAGCTAACGTGTAAATCTTACGATAGGCTCTAGAAAATTAAAAACTGCCAACCACATGCCTATGAAATCCAAACGTCAAACCATCAATTTCGTTACTGCACACTATCTCTTATAACAAACAGAATTGATTCGATTGCATAAATTGGTCAAACGTCAACGTCATTAAGTAGGAAACTGACAACTCACTTAAATCATGTTATTTCAATGAAGAAACATTTAAAACCCTCATGCACAACTCTTTGCTAGCATAAGAAGAAATCTTGAAAATGATAGTGCCATTCTAAAATTCTAATTGTAAAAAGCGCGTGAAGATAATTGAAGCATTTTATATAAAATAGATTAAGTCAAGTCTCAATATCACTTGATTTGAAACAAGCCAGAACGTGTTAGCGGTGTTTTAAAGGCACACAAAAATTACTACTAATCCTGTCCAACACGTCTAATACTAATTCTAACCAACACCATTCGTTCATGCATTGAATATTCCTGACACAGCTGGTCTCGTACTTCTGCTATGTATTTAGATATTCTTGGTAAAACCCAACGAAGAATCTGCAATATTATTAGTCCTAACCTTGCATCTCAACTTCAGTTATTTTCTTCTGTGTCTTTTCTATAAATATTTTCATGGTGATTGTTCTGATTAACTTTTCTCTATGGCACCTTATGAATTTAAGCGCAGTACTAGATTAGTGGCAAAGTCTTATCATTTTACAGTTGAAATGGCTAAATGTAACCGTAAGTTCTATGCTAACAGTTTCTTCTCTCGCACTTTTCGCTTTTGGAACTTTCATCCGGCTTCTTGTTGTCCAGTCAGCTTTGATCATCAAAAATTTAAATGTAATATCAATCTGACTTCTTAATTCCTGTTCTTTTATTGTTCTCTCTCCTTAATGTTTTTTCTCATATTCTCTCACACTGAATAATCCCTTGCATCTTAGTGGCTTTATTGTCTTGCTTGTAGTGAAATTAAAAAAAAAACACACAGCTTAGTAAAATTTACCAATAAGGAAAAAAGAAAAAAGAGGCTGTCATAGTCTGGATTTTCAAGTCAATGCGAACGATCCTTTCCTTAGCTGCATAGTATGTGCTTCGTCAGGGCTACTAAACAAGGAAATCTTTTGAAAATGAAATTGTCCGAAAACACTTGGGACCATAATAACTACGAACAGTTTCTACACTCTCTTCGTCCTCATAAAAACACTATACGAACACTAGGAAAACTAGTTAAAAAATTATAAAATTTTCCTTGTTTATAACATACCATGAAAAGTATAAAATAACTAGCTTAAAAGCCACCATATCGGACAGTATTTAAGCTATCTCCTGCGGAGGTCTCTTGATTGGGCCTTCGGCTTGTTCAGGAGTTTGAGAGTCCCTAAGTCTTTGCATATTCTCAGCACTAGAAGCTCTCCTAGCTGCCTCTTTGATCTGGGTTTTCATTTGCTCGGGACTTTCTTTTCCTCGCTGCAGCCTTGGTTCTTTTGATTGCAATCTAGTCCTCTTTTTGTTTCTTTTTGTGAGGCATACTGCTGCCGTATGCAATAGGCAACAATAAACTACAGAAGAACTCAAAATTGATCCCTTGCATTAATATTTACGCTTACATGTTCAACAATAATTCTTCTGCTGCCACTTAATTTAAAGACAATTTAAAATACGTAGGTCCTTACTTTCCGTACAAATAATCTATTTCATGGGTCACGAATTGCTGAATTCGCAATTAATTTCGACTATTCCCAAATTCATTTCCAAGTTATAAAAATTATTATTGTACAGAAAAATTCGTCGCAAAAAATCACGTAAGAAAAAAACGCCGAAAATAAAAACTTGAGTATCCAAAACTTCTGTAACATGAGCTATTGAAAGTTAGAGTTGTGTCCCTTTAATTGGAAAGGCGTGATACGCTGACATTCGCATTTATCATATAGAAGGTTGATGCCCAAATATATAATAGTTCTGGTTATGACGATATACTACATCCGGTAGCAAGGTCTCTGATCTGGAGATTAAAGGTTTTGTTCCAAGGTCCACCCTGCCCCGGGGTGGTAGCTCCAGCTAAGGGCCAATAGTGAACCCTCAAACAAAAACAAAGCACTATGAAAGTATAAAAAATACCAACAATACATTTTCATATAAAAATGAACCAACAATACATATTTATAGTAAAATTACCAACCGTATATCAATTCACATAAAAGAACTCTTTTATGATATTAATCGTTATAACATCCTACAATTTCTTAAATGAATCAAACTGTATTCCAAAATATAACTTACAATATAACTTATATTAGGAAATGGACAAAAGCCCGACAATTACTTTAAGACATTTTTATGTTTATACATTCTTTTTTATAGATACAAATATTTAAGTAAATGCTCTGTTTTATAATAAACAGTATTAACAACATTTACCAACCTGAATGTCCTGGAAATTGTCATAGAAAATATGCGTCCTCCGACAGGAATCGAACCTGCATCCTATACGGAACCGTCATATAGCCTGACGTGCTTTTACCGATTGAGCCTCAGAGGAGCGTTTCGGTTGGCAAGGTCGATTTTACTGTTTTTAAACTACAATTTTCCATGATTTTCTCACGTACATTCATATCTGCTCGATGCGTATCCAAATGTAAATTGTAGTTGAAAAACAGTAAACAGTGTTTCTTTATTGTATTTTCATTTGATGTAGGGTTCCCACCCTATCAGGGGTCCTACTTGCCATCGAGCAAGCTGACACTCCGACCAATCCGTCACTCGGGAAAGAGCGTTTTCCCTAAAATATGACATTCGAAAAGCAAATTTTTATCTGGTCCTGAACGCCAAACTCTGCTACATACCGAGTAATATACAACTGAGCCACGAGGGAGACTTGTCATTGTCTACATAACTTCTCTTTCACATCTCTATCGAGCATACGTAAACGTCTTGGGACAGAGTGACTATTCTTTCAATTTTACTTCAGTCTCAAGTGACTCTTATCCGATATATAACTGGATCTTCACCAGCGAAAGACATTTTGGGCATTGGTTTTGGGTTTTTTTTTGTTTTTTTTTTTCAATTCTCGTCCACTTGAAGAACTCCACTTGTGCAACTGTAGAATCTACCATGTTGATATCGTAAACATTTTTAGTCATGTTGGCATGAAAATGGTTATTTCCTGTTTGAATCTGCTCATAGACATTTTAGACTTGACATATCTTTCTTTAATTCATTCTCATAGCCAGTCCATTAATTTATTTGTAAAATCCTCGATATTCAGTCATGTAAAGTGTTTAATGAACTTCGGCCAAGTCGTAAGAAGATGAAAGTTCAAAGGTCTGTGTGAAAGGTCAGGTTTATGGCGTGAACAGAATATTTTGGAATTCTGCTCCGGGCTTTGAAATTAACCGAACGGGCGAAAAGTTGAGAGCAAAAGGTAGCATTTGGAAAGAAGGGAGGAAGGAAGGAAGGAAGGAAGGAAGGAAGGAAGTTAACTGTAAATAAGAAAGAAAGAAAGTAAGAAAAAAGAAAGAAAGAAAGTAAGAAAAAAGAAAGAAAGAAAGAAAAAAGAAAGAAAGAAGAAAATATCTTACTGATATTAAACTTTATCGTTAGGAAGGAAAATCATAAATGAATGATGCAGTGTAAGAAAGAGAGAAAAAGAGTAAACAATAAAAAAGCTTACTTTTTCATTTAGAAACGGATTCAAACATGTTCAGAAAAGGAAGAAAGGAAGGAAGGAAGGAAAGAAGGAAGGAAGGAATGAAGGAAGGAAGGAAGGAAGGAAGGAAGGAAAGATGGAAGGAAAGATGGAAGGAAAGAAGGAACGAAGGAAGGAAGGAAAAGCGAAAACAGATAAGTAACACAAAAAAAAAACAGAATGAAAAAGCTAACATTTTCTTTATGATTAAAAAGCATGATGTACAGGACAAAGAAAGAAAGAAAGAAAGAGAGAGAGAAATAAAAGCAAAGCAAAAAGATTGGACAAGAAAGAAAAGAAAGGAAGGATTGAGGGATGAAGGAAAGAAAGAAAAAAGTAAAGTAAGGGAAAATTATATAAGGAAGGCAGGCAGGGAAGAAAATAGAAAAGCAATACAAAAGGAAGCAAGGAAGGAACGAAGGAAGGAAGGAAGGAAAGAAAGAAGGAAGTAAGGAAGGAACGAAGGAAGGAAGGAAGGAAAGAAAGAAGGAAGTAAGGAAGGAACGAAGGAACGAAGGAAGGAAGGAACGAAGGAAGGAAGGAAGGAAAGAAAGAAGGAAGTAAGGAAGGAAGGAAGGAAGGAAAGAAGGAAGGAACGAACGAACGAAGGAAGGAAGGAAGGAAGGAAGGAAGGAAAGAAAGAAGGAAGGAAGGAAGGAAGGAAGGAATATAGAGAAAAAAGAAAAGTAAGGTAAAACGAGGAACGAAGGAACGAAGGAAAACAGGCAAAAGAAAGAAAGAAAGAAAGAAAGAAAGAAAGAAAGAAAGAAAGAAAGAAAGAAAGGAAAGAAAACAGAAAAAAGAAAAGTAAGGAAGGAAGGAAGGTAGGTAGGAAGGAAGAAAGGAAGGAAGGGAGGAAGGAAAACAGAGAAAAAAGAAAATTAAGCTAAAAGAAAGGAAGTATAACAGAAAAAAGTAAAGTAAGGCAAAAGGAAGGAAAAGCAAGAAGGAAAATAGAGAAAGGAAAAGGAAGTCAATAGGAAGGAAGGAAGGAAGGAAGGAAGGAAGGAAGGAAGGAAGGAAGGAAGGATGTAAAACCGAAAAAAGAAAGGCATGGCAAAAGGAAGAAAAATACCAAAAAGCACATGCAAAGGCAAAAAATATTAAGAAAAATAAAAAAAACATAGGAAACATCATCATTGCAATTAAAGTGCAATACCCAGAAAGTGAAGGAAGAAAGGAAGGAAAGAAGGAAGGAAAGAAGGAAACATATCGAGGAGAATTTCAAAAATAAGAAAAACAGACAGAAATAAAGAAAAGAAAATTCCTTATTGTTATTACATTTTAGAAAACAGGAAGGAAAATTATAAGTGAAAGAAGCAAAAAGAAAGAAAAGAAAAAGAAAGAAAGAAAGGAAATAAAAGAGAAAGAAAGAAAAAAATCAATTTTTCACCCAGAAACAGATTTGAGTTTGGCGGCTCGACCAAGCAAATCGATTCTATTCACAAGGAGAAAAAATCAAGAAATAGAGGACAATACTTATGCACGTATATGAGAGTTATATATATATATATATATATATATATATATATATATATATATATATATAATTGCAAAGGGCACGTTGCCATGTTTGGTATGCCTACACAAATGCATCACTTCCACCTACGCAAAGACAGAAAAGAAGGAAGGGAGATGGCGACTGTGTAGATTCGAAAAAAAAAAAAATACATTATATAACCGAAACTTGATATCGATAGAAATGTATTCAGGTTCGTTTGACACAATACCGCAGTTGTGTTGATTTCGTCCGGAATCAATTTCATTAGGAAAGACAGTGAGAGAGACCGGCTAGCTAACCACTTTACTGCGACTACCAGTAGACTTCGATATGGTTGACTAAAAATGTAACAGTTTTTGATTTCTACTGGCTGGGCAGATGAGCTAATTATGCGAAACAGAGACCTCGGATCAAAATCCCACACGCCTAATATTCCCTCTTTGTCAAACACAGTTGCAGGCCAATTTCGAAACATTTTAGAATACCTGGCAATGAGAGCATGTGATCTATCTATCTATCTATCTATCTATCTATCTATCTATCTATCTATCTATCTATCTCTCTCTATATATATATATATATATATATATATATATATATATATATATATATATATATATTTGTTTGGATTGATGTGAGTTTGTGACCCTGGGTTTCACGCTGTCGATCGCAAAAGCGTGAAACCCAGGGTCACAAACTCACATCTATCCAACCAAATATGTTAGCTTCTATCTCTGATATTGAACGCTTTCTAATAAGTATGCATATAATATATAAATAATTATATATATATATATTTATTTATTTATATATATACACACACACACACACACATATATATATATATATATATATATATATATATATATATATATATATATATATATATATATATATATATATGAAGTAGTCTAGGTTTTGGAGATAGACCTGCATAACTAGATGTATTCTGAAACTACATCAACCAGGGTACTTGGATAAGTATATTTCATTTTGATTAAAGGTGCTCCCCGTGGGAGTGGGGAGGGACACCCCCAATGAATCTTTTTAAAAAATTAAATTTAAATTTGAACAAGGGAATGACTCCCATTCAAAATATAGTAGGAGAAAGCCAGAAGATGGAGGTCACATCAGCAAAATCATTGATTAATATTGAAATGCATCATTTTTTTCTCCACAAATTATAACAATTTTAAATAATCAATCATCATTTTTTTTACAAAAAAATGTGTGATAGGCAGCAAGGCGCGTGTAATTCGGCAAGTATATATATATATATATATATATATATATATATATATATATATATATATATATCAGTGGGACCTTTGACTAAATTGAAGCACGAAGAGGAAAGTGGGAATTTTTGGACACGCATTCCGACTTTAAGACCTTTTAAAATATTCTTTCTGGCCTGCAATTGTTTTATGATTACATACCGAATTATAGCCAATGATCTAAGGGCAGGCAAAAAATATGATTATTTTGTTGTTTAAACAAATGCCAGCTATAATATAAAAAAATTAAATGGACAAGGGTCTTCGCAGTTTATGAACTGAGTTTGTTAGAACTATCTTTGAATCTCCTGAAGAAATGGCGTACCAGGGATTTTGTTGATTTGTTGAGTTCTTTTCTTTATCAGATCCAAAGCTCCAACCATGAGAATCGTTTTAATTTTAAGTATCACATTTTTTTCTCTTTTCTTAATAATAAGTCTTTGATCGGCCAAAAATTATTATTTTATTTCCTTTGATTTTTGGTGTATACACATTTCTATCCAGGTCCCGCCCAGAGACCTAAGGTTAGAAATGGCATCATGACATTTTCCACTGACCAAAAAAAAAAAAAAAAAAAAATTTACATAGATAAAAACTTTCGTAAGGTGTGGGCTGTACTCGTGAGAACATTTTTTTTGTATTTCTTTAAGGCATGTGCTTCCAGGAATCTCTTCAATTTGTCTACTGGATTTTTTCCAAATCCGAGAGCTCAAAACTACAACAGGGATTGTTGATGTTCCCATGTCCCACATTTTTGAGATTTCTATTTTAAGGTCCTTGTATTTTGATAACTTTTTGAAGATCTTCAAAGATACATTACAGTCTGCAGGGACTGTCATATCAATAAGGAGGCATGTTTTTTTTTTTGTTTTTTTTTTTTGCGGTCTCTAATAACACTGTCTGGGCAGTTATCTTTTATTGTTTTATTATTATTATTTCTTTGATTTCTGGCGTTTACACATTTCTTTCCAGGTCCCGCCCAGGGACCTAAGGTTAGAAATGGCGTCATGACACTTTCCACTGACAAAAAAAAAAAAAAGAATTAAATTACATAGATAAAGCCCTTCGTAAGGTGTGGGCTGTACTTGTCAGAACAATCTTCTTGGGGCATGGACTTCCAGGAATCCCTTCAATTAGTCTACTGCAATCTTTTCCAACCAGTCCTAGGGCTCCAACTACAACAGGGATTGTTGATATTCCCATATGCCATATTTTTCGAGATTTCTATTTCAAGGTCCTTGTACTTTGACAACTTTTGAATATCTTCAAAAGATACATTGCAGTCAGCAGGGACTGCCATATCAATAAGGAGGCATCGTTTTCTTTGTGGTCTTTAATAACAATATCTGTCCGGTTGGCCTTGATTGTTCTGTCAGTGTGTATTGTGTAGTCCCATAGAATTGTAACAGGTCCTATCTCCGTAACCGGGTCTGGGTGGTGTTCATACCAGTTTCTTTCAGTTTCCTTCCCGTAGAAGTTGCAGATTTTTCAGTGCAGATATTGGCCCACTCTGTCATGTCGGGTTTTATATTGAGTGGGTGCCAACACCGTACAACCTGATACAAGGTGATCAATCGTTTCTGGATATTTATCACAGAATCTGCATTTTGGGCTGACACAATATTTTAGTATATGTGCTTGATAATTCCTAGTTAGCAAGCATTGGTCCTGCGCAGCAAGGATAAAACCTTCAGTTTCCGCTTTCAACCCTGCACATTCTGTTTTTTAGTCTTTGATCACAATGTCTGGGTGATTAGCTTTGATTGTTCTGTCTGTGTGTATTGTAAATTCCCATGAAATTGTTACAGGTCCTACCTCTGCAACCAGGACTGGGTGCAGATATTGGCCCACTCTCTCAGGCCGTTTTTATATTCAGTTGGTATTAACGCTGTGCAGCATGGTACAAGATGATCAATTGTTTCTGGATATTCATCACAGAATCTGCATTTTGGTTCTACACAATTTTTCAGTATGTTTGCTTGATAATTTCTAGTTAGCAAGCATTGGTCCTGTGCAGCAAGAATAAAACCTTCAGTTTTAGCTTTTAACCCTACACTACGTAGCCACTGATGGGTACGAGGTTTGTCTACATCAGCTTGTTTGGTACGGGTAGAGTATTGGCCATGAAGAGGATTATCTTCTAATCGTTTCTGCATTTGGTACATTGTATTTGCTTTTGATTCCTTTTTAGGTTCTTTGTCGCTGCAATAAGTGCATTATGGTTTATTTGCACTTCTTCACACACTTGAAATTCCCTTTTGAATTGGTTGGCTTCCTTTATTACTGAATAAAGTTTCTTAATTCTTTCATGTTCTTTGACATAGATCATCATCTAGTCTTCTGTAGTTTCCAGGTATCATTGAGGACCAATAGTTGTGATTTTGTAAGACAGTTCTAGTTGAACTAATCCTCTGCCTCCTTCGGATCTGAACACACGATCAACATCAATCTTGGGATTCGCTTAATGTTTGCTATGGTCCAGTTATGGATGTTCATAATGTATTGGACCACAGGGACAGCCAAAGTGTTAATGGTTTATATTCTATTTTGTGAATTCCACTCATTATGCAACATCTGACGCAGACGACTGTAGTATTCTTTTCTTTCTTTTTCATTTGCGTATGCTGTATTCCATCTCCTTCGCTGACTCCTAGGTATTTATAGGCTTCATCTTGTTCCAGTTTCCTAATTTTTGTGACAAAAATCTAGATCTATTAAGTCTGTTTCTGTAATTTTCCTTTTCTTGAATGTTACTTTTGCACATTTGCATATCTGCAATCCGTACTGATGTCATCGCTGAAAGATTTTACAGTATTGAGGTTACCCTTCAACTCATTGTCGTCTTTGGTAAAGAGTTTGATATTATCCATGTAGAACAGGTGATTAAACACTTCCTTTTTTTTTTACTTAGTATCCATAGTTATTATTGTTTAGTTCATGCGAAAGAGGGATTAAGGAAAGACAGAAGGGACGACAGGTGTCTTCTTAAAAGATTCCTCGTCTGATATTCAAACAATTGGAAGAGATAGTACCTTTAGAGTGATTTAGATATAATGTAGTTTTCCACAGTTTCATGCTATATTTAAGGAAATTTCTTATCACCGAGGAGACTTTTTACATTTCCAAAGCCTTAAGGATCCAAGAGTATGGCTTTATGGTAATCTATCCAAACTCTACTGAGACTTAATCTGCAATTTTCCAGGACCATTTTATTTATTAGTAGTTGATCCTAGGAACCATATGAAACTCTTCGGCTTCCATTCCAGGGATCATCGAGAAAATAGTAAGTACAGTTCTTCAAGATAGACGTGAACAATTTATATATTATTAGCCTACAATTTTTTGGAATATCTGTTTCACCCGTTTTTGGTAAAAGATATATAATACCTTCAGGGATTCATTCTGGAACTTCAATGGGGTTATTAATTAACATTGATAAAGTTTGTGCAAGAGTTTCATGGATTGATGACATAATAGAGCCAAATGTTGCGGACTTTGTCATTTCCTGGGGATTTCCATTTTGGGGATTTTGTTAGAGTTTGCCTAACATTAATCTTGGTTATATTTTCCCATTCTTTCACAGGTTTATCTTTCATTCTTTCTTGTTATCGTTTGACCCACTTTGCATTGGAATTTTATTCCTTTCATCTGCTCCAAATATTCTTCCAAAATTATTATTATTATTATTATTATTATTATTATTATACGAGAACTTGCTGATAAATTTCCCAGATCGAGCCATCCAACAAACGGTGACCCAGAGACTAAACATTATGTTTAAAAAAATCCAGTCCCTTCCGGGTCATGCCTCAATATTTTCAGCGCCCTTTCGAGGGGCTGGTTTATCACTTCGGAGAATAATTGTGGGTAGTGCTTCAATATTAGGAATATTATTCAAAAGAACTTTTTTTTTACCTAACAACTAGATCCTGAACGGTTGCTAAATATAAACTGACGAATTTTAAGGGCAACATTAGTAGACTCTACAATGCCCACAGCACAGAATATATGTGACACTAGCGATGTCAATATGGGCCACTGGAAATTGTTTACTTGTAACAGTAGAGCAGGTCAATTTTGGAACCATGGCATTGCACTCAATTGGAAAGTTGGATTTTGACAAAATAATAATGACAAAATATTTTTCCAAATCGTTAGCGTTTTTTTAATTTTATTTTTATTTTTGAGGAAACGAGTTTAAAAATTAGGTTTAGGTTCAAAATCGTAGCATTGTAATTTAATTCCGGTGATCAGTGAAAGCCTTATAGCACAGCTTTATAAAATTTATAATTGATTGAAGCTTTAAAACATGTATATGGATAAGATGCATGACACAAGCACATTATTACGAAATCAATGAGCCACAAAATACGACGTAGATTTACTTCAAAGGGAAATTATACTAAACAATTTAGCTATATTATGATTTAATATTTTATACAGTGGAGTAGTTTTAATGTGATTCCATATTAACAATGCATATTTAAAACATTTTGTCTTATAATTTGTGACCAGCAATATTATGATGTTATATACACTTTTTTTGTTTTTATTCATTATCTAACAAATGATCTCACAAATCTTATTCATTAAGACGCCTTTTATGTAATCTTTGACAATTTTTTGCACATATTGCATATTTTTCTTTCTTTTTTTGCATATTGATTACAGTAAAAGAACTCGTATATTTTGTTTGTCGTGATTCATAATTAAAATTCTGGTTTGAATATATTTTACATTCAATGTCTCTAATACATCAATTTTATTTGGATTTATTCTTGAAATAGTAAAATTTTGAAGTCAGTTTGTACGCAAAAACCTGTGGAAATTAGGTATTTCAGTACTTTTTTTTAGGTGATAATTAAAACTAAATACTCAAAAATTGCTAATCGCTCTGAATATAATTTTTGGTTTTCATCTCAAACCCCAGCTTTTATACATGATTTTCTAAAAAGAAAAATCAACCTGCGCTATTGTAGCAGCACTACGGGAACATGTATTTTTATTGATTCAGTCGAGTTAACTCGGTCAGTCATGAGTTTATCACTCCAACCATCACGCTTTTACATCAAGGTCGGAAGGTCATCCGGGTGGCATTCTGTGTCATAACATATCTAGTAAATGTAGGTGGTCGCTGGGCAACCAACCCGTCTTGATATCTTGCTAGGTGTCCAGAACATTGGATCACTCGCGAGATCTTGTTTTTTTTTTTTTTTTGCTAGCACTGTCCTGAAAAGTGCATTCTGCCTTCGTGTAAGATTGTAGAAACATCAGGGATGGGTCTATCGAGCTGTGATTTAATTGGGTGTTGTCTCCAAGAGGTGTTAATTGTAGCTCTCAACATAACTAGGTTCCATAGCATAGTGTAGGTTCCATCAAGCTTAGGGTTTTAGTTAATGTCAAAGCACCATACATTAACACAGTCTCTACTGTGGCACGAAAGAATCTTCGTATGTGGTTGTCTAGTAGATCAGATTTCCAAATTACATTCATTTCATTGAAGGGGGCCCAGGCTTTAGCTATGCGAATTTTCACAACATTTACAGTAAAATTTATCTCACTTCCTATGTATGTAAAAGATTCTAAATATTTTATTGATTCACTTAAGACAGTTTGTATTGAGCCTTTCTGGGTGAAGTCTATGAATTCAGTTTTAGTGGCATCGGCATAGAGTCCAACATCATTGGCAGCATTTTCTAGATGACGTAGAAGAACTGTGGCATTGGTAATGTTGTCTGCAGTGATAGCTAAGTCATCTGGATAGTCAGTATCTGTGAACTTTTTTGTACTTTTGCGTTCGCGCAAGATTGTGGAAATATTAGAGGTGGGTCCATAGAGCTGTGATTTTGTTAGATATTATCTCCATGAGATATTAAGTATAGCTCTTAGCATCCGATTATAGATTCCATCAAGCTTAGACACAAGGGTTTTAGTTAAAGTTCAGGCAGTGGTACCCTACATTTAAACCACCTCTACAGTGGCGCAAAAGAATCTCCGCCTGAGGTTGTCTGGTAGATCAGATTTCCAGATTATATTAATTTCATTGAAGGTGGCCCAGACTTTAGCTATGCAAATTTTCATAACGTTTACTGTAGAATTTATCTCGCTTCCTAGATATGTAATAGATTCGAAAGATTTTATTGATTCATCTGAGACAGTTTATATTAAGGCTTGCTGGTTGAAGTCTGAGTCCAACGTCGTTGTCACCATTTTCTTATGCATTATCATTAATAAGAGGGACAACCCTAGATGCGAGCATGAAATTGGAGACATCAAAATCAAATCTGAGAAATCTTATAACAAATGATGGAAAATGTGGCACAGAGATCCGAGGACGTATTACAATAGCGAAAGAGCCATCCAGAAACTAAGCAAAATATTTAGAACTGGAAAATTTCGTTGAAAACAAAGATAAAAAATACTAAACAGTTAAGTAATATCAATCAACCTGTATCGCAATGAGAACATGGACGTGACACATAGTAGTTCTAATCATCGATTGCAGCCTGGAAGTCACTGGTTTTAATAAAAGACTCTCCAAGGAGTAAGAGTGGTGTTACACTAGTATAATGATTGTTGAACCATGAATTCTTCCTGTACAGGTTTATTTTTTAAAAGTCAGTGACTAGATCTGTGACGACCAGTGAGCGAGCAAGGCCCAGACTAGATCAACAGCTTAGACACACGTTACCATGACGTCAGTCAACGATGAATTTTCTACATACAAGTCTGTGACGAAAGTAAGACATATCTCCTCTCTCTTTTTGTTCACCGTATTTAAAATTACAGCAACCGCACGCAGTCGGTCAGCACACACGTTCCATTAGCGTTGGCTTCACACACACACATGCATACACACAAACATATATTAGCGTACAATACTACTTAAGTTTCTTACTTTCAACAAAAACACTTCGAAACTTTTCAGTTTCACTTGCGACAAAATCATTTCGAACAATCGAACTATTGGTCTCTTCATAATCACAACAAAGAACATTGATTTCTAATATGTAAATACAAGTTTCTGAGTCTATAAATGTTACTATCATATTTAGCTTAGTCTTCTTCCTATTCTGCGAAGACCATTTATTCGCGTTGTTCATAATTTTGTGTTGTATTTGTGGAAACGATTTTATTTTCCACCTAAAATTAGGGTAGACTGAGCCTACACCTTCTGGACTAATCAGAGGATTCTACCTCAAAGGGATTAGGATAAATAAACCAGAATATCTACATGTAGAAGAGAAGCATTCAAACTTCTCCATATCATTTTATCCTCAACATTAAAAAATTTAGCTTACAAAATCCCAAAATCCAAAAAACAGAAACCACCAATAGCACTTCTAAGAAAAATGGCACAAAATTCATAATCCTGCCCTGCAAGACTTTCTACTAAATTAGCAAACAAATTAGTCATCCCTAATACTAGGATCGTTACCACCACCTCGAAGACAATCGCAGATATAATTAGGAAGAAAAATAAACCCAACACCAATTGAAATGCCGGGATTTATCAAATAAATTGTTATAATGCAAGAATCTTTATGTGGGGGAGACATCACGTGATCTAAAAGCCCGCATCTGCGAACACCATAGAGACTTGCGTTTGGACGAACGATCTCGTTTCTCATCGAAACAATGCTGGACATAACATTATCAACCTTTTGAAGGCTATTTAAAGCCAGAAAATATTTTTAGATTGTAAAAACTTTTTTAGATAATAATGATTTCGTGATACAAGACTTACTAATTAACCCATAGATGAGTGGAGAAAAGTGGATTCATACCTTTCCCAAGGATATTCGTGCATAAGTTAATATAACGAACCTGACTGAAATTGAATATCGGCTCTCTGATTAACAATTCCGAGCCATTATCCATTACACGACACACACACATCCAAGCTTTCAGCTCTTGATATTCCCAAGTGATCACTCATCCAGGCTGACCAGGCTCGACGTTGCTTAACTTCGGTGATCGTACGAGAACCGGTTCAGTCACATGCTGAGTGTCCAATACGAAATACGTTTCAACATTATATGGCCGTTAGTCATTCAGTGAAATGAAATAAACCTGACAATTAAAAGTCTTTTAATTACTTTTACCCTCTTATTTCTTTAAACAATGACAAGCATTCATATCTATGATTGTTATTTTAACATTTATTCAACTTGTTAAGCTCAAACATGCGACAGGGGGACATTCTTCGTGTATTTTATAGTCTTGGAAATCGCACTTTGTTTATTTATTCATTAAATATTACGATATAACAATTAAAATAGGAAAACCACGAAATTTTCACGGGTGCTACGAGTTATGGGTTTAAATAAATTGCTCAGTGATTGTCCTTGAAACTAGAACTATTAGCGTCGCTAGAGGGCGTGCCACTGGGTAATTGTAAAATCATTAGCTTCCACGATAAGTTTCGTTATTATTGGTAGAAGTTGTAGAGCATGTAAATGACGGTGGACTTGAAAAGAATTAGATTAACATAAATGATTAAACTATATCAAACTTTTATCTTGGTTCTATATTCAGTTTTAATCTTAGTTTTGTCTTGACCTATGAAATGCTGTAAGCTTGGCTCACTTCTCCAAAAGTTTGGCAATCTCTACACTAGCAGAAAAGTTACGGTAGTAGAGTATAGAGCAAGGTTCATATTCACTATTCTTTCTGAGGTGACTCAATTGCATATGAAGACAAAGACTATAAATAGTTACGGCTATTACTCATGAGACAGTTGAGTGCATACTATTTCCCGTAAGTTAGTAACACTACACAACAATGGCGTGGCCGATATCTAACGAACAATTGATAATTATGAATACGCACAAGCATGGCTTGGGATACTAGCAGCTGAAGCTAGAACAACAAAAAAGCTGAAGGATTTAAAATCAGTTGGAGGAGAAAACCAAATAAATGGCTTCTTGTTGGCAACTGCTGGTTGTGAGGCCATTATAAAATTATCAGCAATTGAACACCCAAGACAGTTGGAGGAAATGACGCCTGACGATATAAGTCAACTAAGAATGAAAAACATGACACAAGAAAAAAAACAAGTGAATGCAGAGAGAGATAAGTTTATGAATATTTCTCAAAAAATATGTTCTTCGTTTGAAACAAGCCGCTAAATATTGTGAATTTGAGAAACTGGGATAGGAAAACCAGTCCATCACAGACGATTTGTTCCCCCCCAAAATAGTAAACGGCCTTCAAAATGAGGAGGTATCGGCAAATGATTCTAATGCATTTACAACTGCAAAAGTTGTCACTAGAACAGTTTGTTGAATTTGTTCGCCAACAAGAATTAGTTGGAAAATTTAATAGAACAAAAATTACGGATCTGGTACAGGAATTGCAACACGATAGTGATGAAAAAATGTTTAGTGAGCTTGAAAGTAATGAAGACGAAAGTGTCATGTCACAGCAAGAGAAACTAGACAATGAAATTCCGAGTGTCGTTAGCACTACACAACAATGGCGTCGCTGATCTCGAACAAACAATTATCACTTGATAATTATGAATACACACAAGAATGGCTTAGGTTACTAGCAGCTGAAACTTGAACAAAAAAAAGCTGAGGGATTTAAAGTCAGTTGAAGGAGTAAACCAAATAAAAGGCTTCTTTTTGGCAACTACTGGTTGTGAGGTCATTATAAAATTATCGACAATTGGACACCCAAGACAGTTGAGGGAAATGAAGATATAAGTCGATTAATAACAAAAAACATGACACACAAGAAAATATCTAGTGGATGCCGAGAGAGATAAGTTTTTTAAAGTTTAAATGAACCAGATGTCGATCATGTTCTTCGTTTGAAACGGGCCGCAAAAATATTGTGAATTTGAGAAACTGGGATAGGAAAACTAGTCAATCGAAGAATATTTGATCCAAATGAAATTGGTAAACAGCCTTCAAAATGGCAAATTAATCTAATGCATTTACAAGTGGGAAAGGTATCACTAGAACAGTTTGTTGAATTTGTTCGGCAACAAGAATTAGCTGGAACATTTGATAGAAGAAAAATTACGGATTTGGTGCAGGAATTGAAACACGATAGTGATGAAAAAATGTATAGTGAGCCTGAAAGTAAAGAAGACGAAAGTGTCGTGTCAAATCAAGACAAACTACACAGCGAAATCGAAAATAATATAAACTCTAAAGATGAACAATATATACTTGAGTCCTCTTTGGAGGAACACTCCTATGAAAAAAGGAAAAAGTTAGGACCTCCCATATCTAGACAATCTCGTGGGGATAGGAAGGAAAACAGTGAGAAGACAAAAGCTCTTAGAAGAAGTGCAAAGGAAAATAAGGAGATGAAACCACTTCGGTACAGGGAGATGAGGTGACTCATTTACATATGAAATCGCAAAGACTATAAATAGATACGGCTATTACCCATGAGGCAGTTTAGTGCATACTACTTCATGCGAGTGGGTAATATTACACAACACTATCAAAATAGATTGCAAGCCGAGCTTACAAACTAGAGTGTTACAATAGGCACCTAACTGCTTAGCTTAGTCTGGCATAAGGCCACAATAACTAAACACTCGAACATTGAGTGAGGATGGAACTCGTAGAATTAGTGAAATGCTCTTCAAGACTAATTTCCCAACCGTCTACCTACGATAAGATCCTCTGTGTATGTGTGTGTGTGTTAGAGAGAAAGAGAGAGAGAGAGCAATAATGGGGTAAATGCTGTCATGTTATTCGTTTTAACCTTGAACTCTTCGTCCTGAGTATGACGATAAACTACATCCGGCAGCAAGGCTTCTGATCTGGAGGTTTTGAGGAGCGTGTAACCACCTCTTAATTGCTGTTCTTCCCAGGTGCTCCCTGACCGGGGGTGGTAGCATCTGCTAGGGTCCCAGCTATGGGCACATAGTTACCCCGCAAACTGCGGTCAAAGCACTATGAAAGTCTAGAAATGTTTATAGTGAAGGTGCCAGCAATACATTTTCAAAGTAAAACAATTACCATCGATACGTATTTTGTAAAAAAATTACCAGAAATACATTTTTTGTAAAAGAAATTTCTAATGCTCCCAAATAATTCAATTTCGGCATTAAATGACCCATAAAGAATTGATATGCCGTCAAACAAACAAAACCAAACCTGGATTCTTCCTGCATTTAACTGTTCCTACGTAGTCAAGGATGTTGCTGACTATGATAGTTTTCGATGCAGGATATATAGGGTGATTGAAAAGTAACTCCCTATTTTATATATGATGAACTCTCCCGTTTAACAATAATTCTTACAAGACGGTAGAGTCTATTATACATAAAATAAGGAGTTACTTTTCAATCACTCTGTATGTAGGGACAAAGAAAAAAAAAACACTGGCCATCCGGGTATTGAATAAAAGATTAAAAAAAAAAACAGCAAGAGGAGCAAATAAAGGAAAGACAGTTTTTCTCGCCAGAATCTGTCTTACATGTTTATACGTCTTAGAATATTGCTGCAACATATGGTCCGATGATTCTGCTGTGTATTTACAGAGTCTTGATAGGGTGATTGAAAAGTAACTCCCTATTTTACGTATGATGGACTCTCCCGTCTAACTATAATTTTTTCAAGACGGGAGAGTCTATTATATATAAAATAGGTAGATACCCTTCAATCACCCTGTATGCCTGTAGGGAGAAAGAAAAAAAAAACACTAGCCATTCGGGTATTGACTGAAAAAGTAAAAAAAAAAAAATAATGAGGACCAAATAAGAAGAAATTTTGAAATCTTGTGGCAATAACAGAACAACTGAAAAACAAAACGACAAAGAAGAACGATGACGAAGCAAGTGTTGCTGAAAACAATAAAAGACAGGATACTCGTACCTTGAAAGGACAAGGAAAGAGAAAAGAAAAAGCAATATATTCACTCGGCATATTTTGCTTATGAAAACAGATTCACTAATGTTTAAAATTAGGGCCACGCAAAAAAAGAGAGAACTTTTTCAAAGATGCCATATTTCAGTAGTCATCGTCGTACAATTTTAGTTCCCAGCCTGCAGGGAACTTTAGACCAATCAGCACGTTTGACACATACGAAGCACGGAGCCTCGTTGAGAAGCCTTTCACTTATGGAACTCTCTTCCAGCTTCTCGCTTTTTATTCAACCTTGATCTTCTAAAATTTAAATGCAACATTAAACGTTAGCTTCTGTCTTCTTAATTCGTGTTCTTTTATTATTCTCTATTCTTAATAGTCAGTTATGTGCCATGCATGATACACGCTTAGGCGATCATGTATCTTTCGATACATGACTGACGAAGCAGATTTTTTCCCCGATTTAGGTTGCCATTTCTTTCTGCGGTAGACCAGTTGCTATCCAAGGCTATAGAACCCGGTCTGTCCTGCTATTTACCCATAGCTTGGAGTGAGGTAGAAAAAGTGGATTCATGCCTTTACCAAAAGTATTAGCACGTAAATGAACTCGGCTCTCCGATTCCTCAACCCAGTCCTTAATAATGTTTTCTTTTTCTCATATTCTTTAACACCCAGTACCTTTATGCGTGTTAATGGCTTTATCGCCTTTCTTGAGGGCGGTGGGGGGGGTGCGGAATGATTAAGGAAGACGAATAAAATAAATAATCAACAAGGCAGTTTAAAGACGAGACGTTACCTTGGATTTGAAATCAGTTTTCTTTGTGTTCGTAGTTTGGTCTGAGACAGTTATTACTTACCTACAAATAAACAGAACAGAGAATTAGGAAAATGTACAAGCTTAAAAGAAAAGCGGATTCTGATAAAGAAACATCAAGATAATAAGTAGCCTGTAACGAACTGACCAGGTTCCCAGCTGTGCAGTGACTCTACGACCACTCCCTTTCATAGGATTTATAAAGATGGTGATGATGATGAAGAAAAAGGAATCGTGATGATGATTTTTTTTAAAGCATTTCATCCCAAGCAAGGCGGGAGTGCCACTAGCACGTAAGGGGCTACAGAGAGTAGGGGCAAGAGTAAATAGGCGTGATAGAGGAAAGGATGA